TCCTACACTCACATGAAAAAAAGTTCATTATTTATTTGAGATTACCCACGTACTTCATACTACACTATTTCAACTTTATCACAGTGTGGGAACATGTATGGATTTTTTTTTTAAAAGAGCTTTCTTACCAAATTGTTATGATTATTTAAGCCTATATAATATATTTTAACATATAATATTTATAGGAAAATTAAGTTTAAAATGCTTGTATCAACATAAAATATTGTGCTCTTGAAATTAAAAAAAAAAAATCTTCCTTTTCCTATACTGTAAGTTACACATACTACTTTAGTTTCTAAGAGCATTCTATTCATCTTTCTGTTACCATAGTAATGGAAGTTGATAAAATAAAATGCTTTTAAGTTCTAGAAATAAAATAAAGGAAGTCTTTTCCTATGAAGTTGGTTTTACCGTGTGTGTGTGTGTGTGTGTGTGTTTATGTTTCATACTAATTGTACTACCTTCATCACACTTACCAGCTGCCCTTGAATAAAACTATAGATTCAGAGAAATACAATTTTCCAACTGTATACTTTGTGATGGCTAATCATGGTTGTCAGCCTGACTGGATCTGAAGTCAATTAAAAGCTGCAGGGCACTCCTGTGAGGGATTTCCTTTATCAGATTATTTGAAGTGGGAAGACCCATCCTAAATGTGGGCAATACCTTCTGGTGGCAGCCCAGATAAAAGGAGATGGAAGAAGGAAACTTGCTTTTTGCCTGCTTGCCTTCTAAGTTCATCTATCTTGTTGCTGCTACTGCTGCATTCCTTCCTGATAAGGACCAGCTTTTTCAGGCTTCCAAAGCAGACTGAGGACTAGGAGGTCTCCAGGAATCTTGCAAGCCTTTGGTACTAGATTGGGACTAAGATATCTATAGCCTAAAAGCAACAACCAAATTCTCAGCCTCTTTAGTGTAAGACAGCCACTGCTGGGCTATCTAGACCATACAGTGTAAGCTAATCTAATAAATATGTATATATGTATATGTATATATAATAAAGTATATATATTCTATCAGTTCTCTTCCTTTAGAGAAGCCTAGTACAGATATTTCTGCTGTGGTATGCTTTCTGTTGCTATGATAAACACCATGACAAAAAAACCTAAGGGAGGAAAGAGTTTATTTCTAGCTTATACTTCCAGGTCACAGTCATCATTGAGGCAGGAACTCGAGCAAAAGCAGAGGCAGAAGTCATGGAAGAATGCTGCTTACTGGCTTGCTCTCTGGCTCATGCTTAACTTGCTTTCTTATAAGCCCAGGCCCACCTGCCTGGGAATGGTATGGCCCACAGTAGACTGGGCCCTCTTACACCAGTCATCAATCAATCTCGCACAGACATGGGCACAGTTCAAGAGGTTCCCTCTTGCTCCAGGCATGGTGGCACTCATCTTTAATTCCAGCATTTAGGAGGCAGAGGCAGGTGGATC